GGGGGAGCCGCCGCGGGTTTGCGGCAAACTTCTCGCCCGCTCCTTCCCCTTGTTCCCTTCAGCGACGAGTCGTGGGGCGAAATGAATGGAGGTGGGGCCAGCCGAGCCCTTCTGCAGCTGCTAAAGGGGGAAAAGTACCCACGCTTAGATGCTGCTTTTTCCCTCCCTGTTATTTGAAAGTCCAGCCCTGTCGTCTTTAGAAGAAGGTGACAGCGCTTTCCGACAGCCTTGGACAAGCTGTTTGTCGTGTGCGGCTCCGCCACCGCTCTGCATCGGCTCCTCAGCCCTGTTTGTGCTCCCAGTTGAAAAGGGAAGAAAAAAATGAAACAACCCCTATGAGCAAAAAAACCCCGTGACATTTCCAAATGACTTCTGGCTGGTCCCCGTTCTAATTGTATGTGTTCTCCCAGCTCAGATACCCCTGCTTGGGACTGGTTTTTACAAGACTGAATTTCAAGGATAAACTCAAGACTTCCTACTGCTGTTTAAAAAAAGCCTCAGTGGCTTCCCAGCACCCTTGCTGCCATCCCCACGCGCTGAACGCACTAGAAGTTGCCTGAAGTGATGTTATAATTAGGACAGATTTACTCTCGGAAAACTTGTGTGTTAGAGTCTGTGGCAAGTGCGTGCACCTGCTCAAGAGATACTGTATCGCCAAGTGCAGAAATAGAGACAATTTTTTGCAAGCCTTTTGTTTTAAAAGTGCTAAAATTATGGAAGAAATGGGAGAAATATGGCCTTTTGTTTAATAACTCGCTCCACATAATCAGCTGTGCAAGGCGGCGTTCTGACTTGAGCAGATAGATAACTCCCTTTGCACTTTGGAGAACAAGGCATTTTTCAATTAATATTTACTGCTTAGCAGCTTTGGGAGCTGGCACTGGTTAACTCACAGGAGGGACAGCCGCGTCCCCTGCCCCTGTGCCCAGGGCGTGTCGTTAGCAGCGGCTGCGTTAGCGCCGGTCAGGCAGGGGTCCGCAGCCCTGCCGCGTCTCGGGGCTGCCGGGTTTCGGTGGAAATGATGAAGCCCAGACGTGTTGTCGGGAGCGTTTCCAAGCGCTGAGGGGAGGCACCTTCCCCTCGTTATTCCTGGATATATCCATGCAGATTCCTTACTGAGGCAGAGAAAAGAGTTTTTTCCCCGGGAGTGCAGAACGACTGGAGCCCAGGTCCTTCCAAGGATGGTGTTCGCCATCCACCTTGTCGGGCTCCTGACCCCACCGCTGAAGCATCGCCTGTACTTTCTGCTCCCACCTCTCGCCCACCCTCACTCCTCCTGCCCTGGTGTCCCTTCTTTTAGCCTCGCAAGGAGGGATGCTGGTAGCAAAGCTTTGGAGCATGGTGCTGTTGCCCCACCGCCCGCCCCGTGGTTTCTCCCCAAACGCAGGGCTGAAGCGCAGAGCAGCCGGACGCTCGTCCCCAGGGCTGCAGGGTGGCAGAGCCCCTGTGACTGCTGCCTGGCTGTCCCCCTGCCCCGAGGGGTGGCAGCGGCTGGAGAGGGCTGGCGATGGGGAGGGATGTGATGCAGCATCGGGGTTTGAGCACTCCTGAGCCCTGAGCAGGGATCCTCCCCCCAAAGTATCTCCCTATCATCAAACCCAGCGTTCTCTTGCCTGATTTTTCTAGCGGGGCATACTGGAGACAAGATGGGGGTGAGATGTGGAGCGGTGGTTGATGTGGACTAGACCACCGTCAATGGGAGCGAGCCATCCTCCCTCGAGGCGTGAGCTGTGGGCTTTCCTCCCTGCTAATAACTTCAAAGATGCTTTTGGAAACTCCAGCCATGGGTTTCAGAGCCCTTTTCATCCTCCCTGTGCAAAATACTCAGCTGCACACACGGCTTTTAGTGCTCACCCTTCGTTGACCTGTGCTGGGAGGAGGTGGGCTTGGCTGGGGGGTGGAATGGGACCTTCTGCTGGAGCTGCTGAGGTTTGTCCTTGACCCCAGTGACGATGTTTTCCTTGCTGTTGCAGTGCCCATCTACGTGCCGTTCCTTATCGTTGGATCTGTATTTGTCGCCTTCATCATTTTGGGGTCGCTGGTGGCGGCTTGCTGCTGCAGATGCCTGCGGCCCAAGCAGGAGCCTCAGCAGAGCCGAGCCCCCGGGGGCACCCGCCTGATGGAGACGATCCCCATGATCCCAAGTGCCAGCACCTCCCGGGGCTCCTCCTCCCGCCAGTCGAGCACCGCCGCCAGCTCCAGCTCCAGCGCCAACTCGGGGGCCAGAGCCCCCCCGACCAGGTCCCAGACCAACTGCTGTTTGCCAGAAGGGACCATGAATAACGTCTACGTCAACATGCCGACGAACTTCTCGGTGCTGAACTGCCAGCAGGCTACCCAGATCGTGCCGCACCAGGGGCAATACCTGCACCCCCAGTACGTGGGCTACGCAGTGCAGCACGACTCGATGCCGCTGACCCCGGTGCCCCCCTTCCTCGACGGTTTGCAGAGCGGCTACAAGACCAGAGCGGCTACAGGCAGATCCAGTCTCCCTACCCGCACGCCAACAGCGAACAGAAGATGTACCCAGCTGTGACTGTGTAGCCCTGACGCCTTCCCCCCCCTCCCCACCCGGCAGATTTTAATATCTAAACTGAACAGAGGAGAAATACTTCCTTGGAATGAAGCTCCCACAACATCACTTGTAAATAATTTTGAAAGGCTCATGCATGTCAGACAGTGTTTATAAACCATTTGTTTTCATCGGGGTCCATTGCCAGAAACTGTAGGATGATATCTCTGAATTAACATTGCCAGATACGCTCTCATTCCAGTGCATGATTTACAGTGGCGAAGGATTACACTGAAAATGCGTATGTATTTCAGATCACTGTACTTGCGAGATAAATGCCGGAGCCATTAAGTGCCCTTCAGGTATGACATGGTCAGAAGTATTTGCCTAATTAATTCGTAGAAACAGTTTTGTTACACTGTACAAGACCACAGTACTTAAGAAACCTCTTTTCTCCTCTCCCAGCTCCTTAATGACATTTCCCATTGCTTTACAGACAATCACAACCGAGAGGTGAACAGTGCAATCCCTGCGTGCCGGGTGCTGGTACCAGCCCCCATGGTTTCTTACACACCCCAGTTTGGGGTGAAATGCCACGGAAGGCTTAGTCTTGCAAAAACCAATTTTCCTTGTCCCTGGTATTTACACAGGAATTATGAGAGTGTGAATTGTTCGGCTCTTCTTTCCAGTGCACTTGAAACCCGTCTTGATTTGGATTTGCCTCAAGATCAGGACCCAGTAGTGGTTTGCACAGACTTCATCTTTGTGAACTTTTTACTAAAAACAGGGTACGAGGTGCTTGCTCTTCCTGACGCTCAGCAAAGCTGTTGGTACAGCTAGCAGCGTCTGAGCTGACACTGCCTTTGCAGAGAAGGGTCTACTGTGACTCCAAACACGCCTGATTTATCCTCACTTCCCATGAAACAGTAAACCCGTGTGAATGCACACGAAGTTGTCAGACCCAAACCCTTCTTGCGATCGAGTCTGACCATAGGAAAATGGGCTTCGTCCCCCCGCCAGCTCGCTCCGAGTCCCCAGCCCTGCTCCCCGGGGGTCACACAAAGCCGCCCCAACCTGGGCACGGAGGGGCTGGCGGAGGTCTGAAACCCATCCCCTTTTCTTCTTTACCCATGGGGCAGAGGAGTAGGAAGGCACAGCTGTATTTAAAAACAATGTAAAAGGCCCAACCAAAGGATGAAGGTGCTTGCGGCTCCCCGTGATGCCACGGGGTCAGGGAGGAGGCGGGATGCCGGGGGGGCACTTTGCGCTGGAGCTGCTGGCTCCGCCTGGCTTGGCTTCGTCCGGGGAAAAACACCTCTCCAGGTTGAAGAGGCAACAGCGTGCTGGGAATAATCAGACTGTGCTAATTGTAATATATCACCCTGGATGCAACAAACGACTTACTTAAGGCTGGTTTTGTCTCTTAAAAAGTGTAATCTCTGCATTGCCATCCATTTCTTCTTCAGCCAAAATACCGCAACAGGGGACTGAGGGCATATACCAAAACCAGGCAATTACAGACCAGAGCTGAAAAAAGGTTTCTTATTGTCTGATACTGTATCAGTATGTAGCAATAACTGTGATACTATTTTTTGTATGTATGTTTTTAAATTACACGTATGTGTGGAAGCATTGCCAAATCCAATGGCTTACTCGTAAACATGCCACACACACAGGCAGCCTGCAGCGGGCAGGAATGGTTTGACCACTGACAGAGGAAAATGAATAGGCAATTTATCCCAGATCTGCTGTTCCTGGCTGCGATCACCCATTCAGCATGTGGGACCTGGACAGAAAGATTGGCTTACGAGACCCGGCTTCCCCTCCAGCCCGGCTGGGCGGCTTCGGCAAGGCAGCGACCGGCTGCTGGAGGCGTGGGGTGACTGCTGTGCTCTGCCCGCGCAGCTGGGTGCTCGGGCGATCTTTAAGGGCAGTAGGTGCACCAGAGCTGGGTGCTGCCAGGCTTTTGAAGGACCCAACACGCAGTCGAGTCTTGTGGGGATTTAGGTTTCTACCTGCCCGAATTGCAGCTTGGTCACGCTGACCCTCCAAAGCTGAGTTGGCATCAGGCGCGGGGGCTCGGATGCCTTCAGCTGCTGGTGGCTTCGGCAGGAGCTGGAGGTGCTTGGCCCCAGGTGAGACCCGGCCTGTTACTGCGTGGCCAGACGACAAGCCCATCATCTTTCCCAACTGTGAACCAAGTCAGCTCTCGCCCCCCCGCCGGCGCACGCTGCCTGCCTTGCACACGCCCTGCCAAGGACACCTCCTCTGACCTATGAAATTCAGGTGAATCTCTTTGTATATTGTTTACTTGTTCAAAAAAGAAAAAAAAAAAGAATTAAGTTAAATTTAAGTCTGTAGAAATCAATTTACAACTGAAGGCAGAGAAACCTGAGTTGTAATAAAAGGAAGTTTGTGAGATGTGGGGTTTTTTATGTCATGTACAATAATGTAAAACCAATGTTACCATTTCGTATAGCTTTTAAATCTCTGAAAGGGAACTTGCTTTAAAGTGTTTCTTACAAATGAAAAAAAAAAAAAAGCCCCCTTTCTTTCTTAATAAATACTTTATGGTGTGACTGTTTTTGTTTGCTTTGTTACAGTTTTTTTTCCTTCAGTTAATGCTTTACTTTGTCTACAAGAGCACATCTGACCAGTCCAGTTCTCCAGACCCTGGCAAAAAGCAAAGTTAGGATTTTTGGCTGTGTTTTTAAAGAGTAACAGTAAAAACAACTTACATGGCTGAACGCTTGGTCAGTCTGTACATGGCACGTCCCGAAATGCCACGGCTTCCTGGCATCCGGGCTGGGAGCAGAAAGCTGGCGGGGAGGAGGGGTCAGTCACAGCTTAGAGCAGATGCGCTGAAGTGACGAGCACTTCGCAGCAGGAGAGGCCAATAGCTTGTGTCAAAGCTTTTTATCGTATTTTTATGGTTTTTTTTTCCCCCGGGCAGTTTTTTTTTCCTTGGTCGAGAGGGGCAGGGTTTTTTCTGCTGCACGTAGTGACTATGGATGGCATGGGGAAAGAGCGTGTGGAAACCGTTGCTGATAAACTCTGAGCAAGGACGAGTGGTGGTTAGGAAAGATGCATTTATTTACTTTTTATAAGCTACAGTGCTAGTTGAGACGCAGGGTCTATTTGATTGCAACTCAGAAGGAATAGTCCCACGTTTAATACAGTAACTGGAAAACCCCGGTGGAGTGCTGCTGCGTAGCACTGCGCCATGGCAGCCCAGGGGTGGGCTCGGACCAGGGACTAGGATGGGCACGGCGGCCCTCAGGTCATACCAATGGACGTGCATCTGTTCCATAGGAAAGCCGGTCTTTCCCTTTTCTTTATAATGCAAGAGCCTGAAATCTGAAGATTAAAAAATCACAGCCACACTTCTAAACCTTCTGCGTGGCCCATAAATACATTTTTAGCCTTATACGGCTGTAAGAAGGGATGGAAACATTTCTGTGGCCACTTCACCCACCCTGCAGCCCTGGCCGAGGGCTCCCCGTGGGGCTCTCCACGGTGGGACATGCGGCTCCGTGCGGGATGACTCATGGCTCAGCAAACCCGCCCTGCGAGGCCGTACGCCTTTCTGCTTGCTCAATTTCATCCCATTACTGAGCCCCATCTTCCTAGATGGCCCTAAACAATTCCTCCTTTTTCCTGCTGTTTACACCCCTTAAATTTATGTTCTCGCTCACTTGCAGTTTAAAGTGTATGGCGTACCTTTTCAGTGCCTGTCTCTGAATACATTGCTACCTATTTAAGGCACTGAAGTGTTCAGTACCGTGCCAGCGACGGTGTGCACGGTAACCAGTAGCGATGGTGGGGAGAAGCCAGCAAGCCATATACAGGCTGGCGCTGTTTGCCCATAGCACACCCCAGCGCGCTGCTGGTGTCCTCGCAAGGGGAACGGTGGGCAGGGTGGTGTCGTCCCCAAGCTGTAGGCAATCCCGCCGGGCTCAGACAGCGGGGCCAGAGGCTGTGCCTGTTGGCTCAGAGCAAGCCGGTGGCCCGGCCGACCCACAGTGCCCAAACCACCGAGCCACGCAGGGGAACAGCGTGGGACCGTCACCAGCGACACGACCCCCTCACAATACACACGTGGAGAACTACTTTGAAATGTCTTGCCTATTAGCCGGGCATGATCAGAGGACAAAGGCCGCTCCTCCCCCTTAGCAGGAGGTTCGTGTGCCCCCATACAGCTGTTACCAGCCGTCGCCACGTTTGTTAGGGGAAAGTGGAGCTTGGTGCAATTAAAGGCTGTCCCTTAAATGTGGCCCATAATGCCCAGGATTTGGGTCCCAGCTCAGCCCATTAACCTCAGCACCTCCCTTTACAAAATATCTAATTTACTGTTCACTTTCAGTCTTGCCAGAGCTCTTCTTTCCCCTCCAGTTTTCTGCTTTCCCATTCTTTTCCTCCCACTGAAGTTGTTACTAAATACTATTCCCCACATGTATTCCCTTGTATTTTTCCAAGCTGAATCTCATTTTATTGTTTCCTGCTCATATTTCTTGCCTCTCTGTAGGTCCCTTTGTATTAGTGCTCTGTCCTCAGTGGGGTTTGCAGTGTTTTCCTGCCCGGGATCACTTGCAAACGGACTGAACAAGTTGCTTAAGCCTGTGCCTTTTCCCTTCTCCTCTTCCCCATCCACACTGAATGGAGCCAGTTCAGTGGGACCCTGCCCTCCCTGGGGGCTCACAGTGTCCCCTGTCCTGTAGCAGAGCATTTAATCCCCATGACAGCATTTCTGTGCAACATGAATGGCCAGGTAACACCAGCCACTGGTGCTGTAACAGCCTCCTGTGCCTCATCAGTGGGGAGATGCCCACCACGCTGGCCCCGTGGCACAAAATAATCAGTGTGGGCTTCACCCATGGAAAGACCTCACATGAACCAACACCACAGCGTGGCTGCTTTGCACCAGCTGAATGCTGTGGCCAGCCCCGGAGGTGAGACTGGGCTGATGTCTCGCCTCAGCACCCCCGGGTGCACCAGTGCCCACAGCTCCTGGGATGGACCCGGCCCCGGGTGCATCCGCCCCGGGAGAGGCACTACAGCCCCAGCGCAGGGCTGGCGGCTCTCCCTGCTGCACACATACCCCTTTCCCTCCCGACACTTACCGGTCTTGTACTTTGTTCACAGAAATGCGGTCATATTTCTTGGCTCAATTTGTTCTTTTTATCAGGAAAATGTCTGCGCACTGACACCGGGCTTTTTTCACCTGGCTCACAACCCCGCACCTCTCACCTTCTCCAGCTCCTCCACGCTGGCTTATTCACAACGTTTTCTCTGGGCCTCCTGTCCTCTCCATCTCCTGCTTGCCCCCACGCCAGCCCTGCGCCCTGCTGAGCTGGACCTCTCACTGCATGG